TCCAAGTTGGTTCTCCAAGGAACTTCGAAGTTTAATACATTAAAAAGTTAAGCGCACAGGCTCTCAAGTAATTTATAATGAATTCTCGGGAACTAGAGCTAAGTGTAAATCTTTATCTAAGCAATGCTAGTCTAATTATTTAAATGTTCAAAAAAGTCTTATCCGTGATCATCAAGTACTTTTGGAAGTTTGTCAAAGATAAAAGGAAAAACGACTGATTACCAAATAGTATGGAACTAAATGGCAAATGGTCTGAAGATATAAATGATATAACTGAAATGTTTAGTGATTTTTTCTCCTCTAATTATGTCACTTCGGATAATCCAACTTTATTTAACTCCTATGAAGATTTTCATCTCAACATTTTGTCCTCTTATTCTTTTACCATTGCTGAGATATTTGATGCGTTAACAAAGCTTAACTTAATCACTAAATATGGACCAGATCTCGTTCCTGATATGGTTTATAATGCATGTTGCTATTCACTTTCTCGTCCAATACACTTCCTCTTCAACTTATCATTGTCCTTTGGGATCTTACCTAGTAGATGGAAGTCAAGTTTAATATAATAATGAATAACAATTTAATAATAATTTCTGCTGTTGCCAGAGGTAGTCGAGTTGATGCTGTGTTGTCACCTTTATTGTTTATAATATTTATGAATGACCTTCATATCAAATTAGCTTCAACTAGAGCATTCTACAGAGTGATTCTTTTATCATGGACCACTCAATATCTCATAAGGTTTAATAGGAAACTTTTTTTACTTATAGTTTTTATACAATATGATCTCAATTTTTCACAACGTTTTTTGTTTTAGTTGTAATTGTATACAAAATCTATCGCTGAGGATTAATTGTTTGGCATACAAAGAGGAAATTTATGTAAAATTGTATGAGTTATATTACGTACCTGAAATTGACCTTAAAATGATGAAAACTAAAAAATAACTAAACGACATCGTGCTATACTTGATAGTAATTAACTTTTTAAGTTCTCTATAAAACACCTAAAAACAAACCTTTGTTCAAAGTTATTGAAGACAGATTGAAATATAAATTTTTTGTAAATAACGAACCATCTTTTTTCATACTCGATAGCGTATATAAACATATAATTGTACTCATAATCTGAGTAAATACAAAAACATGTTATTGTTGTAAGTATTGCCAAATAATACACAAAGATTCGAAAATGACGTAAAAAATATACACCACGCTCACGCTTCATTGTTGATACTGAATTAAGACCAAACGTACCGACATAACTTGGCAATAAATATAGGACAGCAAGATTACAATTTATCCTATTAATTTAAGTAATATATTTAATTATTATTAAATACCTGGAGTTGACCATAAAAAAATAATAAAATCTAAAAATTACATCATTCTAGTGTTGTTTTATTATTGAAATATGTTGGGCGCTCTATAACCTAAACTTGTCTTAATATTTTTATAACCAATGTGACTATTTAGTTTTATTATGTGAGCTTACAATCGTTTTCCATACTTGATAATGTTAATAAACGATAAATTGTGTATACAATAACAAATAATAACAAATATTCTCAATTTTATCTGGTATTTTTCACGACTTTAAGAACTCTACCGACTTTTGAAACAAACTCATCCGAATTAAGTTAATAAAACATATTTATCATACATTTTGTATTATAAATATGCCAATAAATAAAGATGTGCTGTCTTTATAGTTTCAAAAGTTGATAATGTTTAGAGTACAATATTAAGCTGTAGTAATAGGATATACATGAAAATACTTGAGCAACAAACCGCATACGTATATAAAGATATTAATTCATCCCGGTGCCACTGTTATGTTAGAAATGTGTCGTAGTTAAGAAGCTTTGTATAACACTGTAGACAAATATAAAACTACCAGCTATCTGCTATCCTTACTATAAAATATAATAAAATATATATCCGAACTATATAATTATATGCAGGGTTATTCATTTAACGCAATGCACTCAATATATCCTTAACTGTTGTTATCCTAATTGTAATTTTGTAGATTTAATTTGTGTGCTTATGTTTTGTCAACTAAATGGATTTGCTGTACACTGTAAACAAATATTCTCAATTTTATCTGGTATTTTTCACGACTTTAAGAATTCTACCGACTTTTGAAACAAAGTCATCCAAATTATTTTAATAAAACATATTTATCATACATTTTGTATTATAAATATGCCAATAAATAACGATGTGTTGTCTCTATAGTTTCAAAGGTTGATAATGTTTAGAGTACAATGTTAAGCTGTAGTTTTAGGATACACTGTAATTTATAGATATCGTTTCTTACAAGTTTTATGATATAATAGTGTGTGTTTACTCGCGGTTTTTTAGTAATTTTATTTACAATTAATAAAGAGTATAATATACTTGTGTGTAGTTTTGCAATGTTAGTACATTACTTGCGTAATAAACTGTTATTAAATAATGTATAAAACATAAATCGTTTTGGAGAATAAAAAATATTCTGTGGCCTATTTCGTTTTGCTCTAAAACTGCGCCCAGTTTTTAATGTACGTACATAATCATATTATAATATAATATTAATATGTAGAAGAATACTCTGCCGCTCATCTTTCATAGTAAAAAAGCTGTTTAGTAAAAACAAATAATTAATATAAACAAGTAGACCAGCGTCATTTTCATATATTTGTTTAATATATTTTACCATATGTGAACTAGATTATTCTTTTATGATACATCATATAAAGTATAGAAAATGTTGGTGCAGTATTTAAAAAAAAACATACACTCAATTGGCTCTCAATATCTTTTGACAATTATTTTTTTCAAAGTGTTTAAGTATTTGACAACATATTAAATTACGAAAATGTACAAGTCTCTTTTAGCCTTTATCGTCTTAACGTTTACTTCAGGTACATAATATGTTTTGTATTTCATAATAATTTTTAATCTTATAATTTAATAATTTTGCATAAGTTTATTGGAAGATGATGCCTCTTTTCCTTAATAATTTATTTGGAGTTGCTATTCAATACGATTGTCGTTTGTTCTTCTATTTTCTTCTTTACCATACCACTGATTATGGTAGAAACTATGTAGTTCATAAAATGTTGCTTTATCAATTACTTAATTTACTCACTAGTTCAACCAGTTCTAATTTGACTTATTGCTATCAAATCATTACATATGCGTTTATTTTATTTTATTATTATTTTTACTGTGCAATACAGTATACATTTTCAGTTGTGTGAAGTACGATGGGCAAGCCCATAATATTTTAATAATTCATTTAAACACGTTCGGATAATTAGCTGTTTTTTTAATTTTGTTTAGCATGTCTTGATCCTGTCGATTGTATGTGGCCCTCGCCTATGCCCGAAGAGCACAATAACGAGGAAATTGATCACAATCAAATATTGATCAGCGATATAAGCAATCTGTATCGGAACGACAGGTATGTGTTAATGTATTGGTTTTTATTGAATTTATTATTTTCAGTATAGGAGTTTTTAATAATTATAAATGATCTTATACACATTTTTATGATTTAATAAAAAATCGTGTTTATTTTAGGTATTCTGATGTTGTTTTAGTTGTCGGTGGAAATCGGTTGCACGCCAATCGTGATGTTTTAGCCTCACGCAGTTCATATTTTAGGTATTTAATTGTTTTCATCAAGTATACAACCTTAGTATTAATCTACGTTAATTCTTGGCCACTCGATGGACGCAAGGGTGGCCAGACACCAACAAAATCATATTACATATCAATTCAATATGATTTTTTCTCCTGATTTTAAATCTGAAATAATTTTAAATTAAAAAAAAAATGAACACCATTTATTGTACCCATAGAGCATCTTGAATGTCTCATTTGAAGCTCGGTAGAACTATACATTACACCTTGTATATGTATATATATATATATAAATATATATATATTTGTATTTTGTAAAAAATGTGTTATAGAAGCTATTTAGACTGATTTTAGCGTGTCTATTTCAAACGTATTTAGTAATGTTTCAATATTATCTAACTTACCGAGTCAAATCAGTGTTAGTATAGGACCGATAACAATTCAATTATGTAGTCGGTTAAGTTATACTTACAATACAATGGCAATACAGATTGTGGCACACATCATAATATGTGGCTTCGTCTAATACCGTGTAAACATTTTTAGCAAATTATTTTATGGAAAATATGCAGAAGCGAAAAATTCTGAGGTGCCAATTAAGGAAGGATCAGTAACCTCATTTACAATACTTCTAAAGTATATTTATACTGGGCAGATGAATTTAAGTGATCTAGAGGTAAAATATAATTGATTTACTATACCGCTATTCGGACGGTATAAACACTATTTTTTTAAAAACATGATGTGTTCATGTGTTTAGTTGACAAAAATGTTTTTATCAAAAACCGATAATACGAATAGGTAATTTTTTTTTAGCATGAAGTTATTGTAGAATTATTTAGAATTTCGGATTACTACGGTTTTCAAAAGTTACAATATTCACTGTCCGAGTATTTACGGAGTACCATTAGTATACACAATGTATGTTCGTTGTTTACTGTGGCACGACTTCATCAACAAAAAAAATTCACAAGCGACTTACTCGAATTTATTGAATCCAACGCTATGGATGTATTGCAATCTAAAGAATTTCTGTCTTTGTCGCCCGTAATATTTTTGTTTTAAATAGTATTGCTATAGTTAGCTGACAAGATGAGAAACAAACAATTTTTTTAGGTAGTCCTTCGAGAAATCCTCATTCGTGACACGTTTTATGCTAAAGAATTTGATTTATTCAGTGCGGTTAATCTCTGGATCCAAAAGAACGGAAAACACCTAGATCATGATGCAAAAACTAAAGTTTTATCTGCTGTCCGATGCTCGTTGATGAGTGATGAAGACCTGACGAAGGTTTCGGAATCACAACTGATTAGCTTAGATACAATTTCGGGTGCCAAACTATTAAGAAACACCGGGCTACCATATATGATTGGGTTTCGAGCAAAGCGAAGTATGTCTGCTGTACAGATAATTTTGATGTAATTAATATAATGGTTTTAATTATTTCAATTTTTAGAACCCAATGTAAATCTTGTTGAGGGTTCTTCGGTTGCGTATAGCAATAACAGCGGTACTTTGATAAGGTTGAGTCATCCATCAACCATAAACTATATCAAAATAAAATTACCTGATGAAGATTTAGCGTACGTTTTCAAATGATCAATTCTTTTAAAAAAAAACGGATACAATTCAAATATTTTTTTGAATCGAATATCATTCATTTGTTTTTATCACAAATACATTTTTTGCACGACAATATGTTTTTTTTTAATTTTTTTTATTATAACCAAAAATAAATGCACAGCAATTAGTTATATTCATTTGATACTTTTTGGATTACAGTTATTACATAGAAGTTTCAATGGGCGATAAAGATTGGATGAAGGTTATAGATTATTCAGATTATATTTGCCGTTCAGTTCAACGTTTGTGGGTTTATCCAATAGCAGTGTGGTATATTCGTATAGTATATATTCGAACCAAAAATACTGTTAATAAATCATGCAAATTTGTTGAAATCTCGTACAACACAAACAGACGTCACTTGGTGGAAATCGAAGATGGATTAGTTGGTGAGAACACCCAAAAATAAAAGCCTCGTTTTCTTAATAATATAAAACATATTAAATGTTTTTCTTATTAACCGTATTTAATCATTTAGCTCCAAAATACAATGTTGTTTTGTGGTATAAGAATGCAATTATAATCGAAGGGGAAAGTCGTTTTGACAATAATACGCTATTGGACCAATTAGATGAACGCGATGTGTATAGAAGATATACATGGCATAAGCTGGGATCGGGTTGTATATTGATTCAGCTACCACAACCTTTTATGCTTAGTTCAATCAGGTAATGGTTTAAGAAACTTGCCATTCTTTTACATCTTAATAATTTTCCTCTGTACTTATAGTGTAAACCCGTTAGGTAATTTTTACCTAAGGTACCATTTATATCTGGCAACTATTCTATACGTTTAGCTGCATTGAGCCACATTAATGTCTAGCTAACTCATTTGTTAACGGCTAAATGAATGTGATTATTCAATTTCATATCAGCAACATTTGTTTAAATTTAGGTTCTTACGATTAGATCTAAAATTTAGAGAGTATTACCGATATTAATGCCATATTTTGCAGGATGTTGCTGGAAATCGATCCAGACGAGTTAGTGTTCTTCAAGTACACTATTGAAGTATCAGTAAATAACAAAGAATGGAAAATGGTCGCAAATAAAACTAAAAAGGAGACACAATCAATGCAGTTGTTGAACTTTGATCCTACCCCGATAGTGTTTATCCGAATTACTGGCGTTCACTGTTCAGATGGCGATGTTAGTTAAAATTAATCTAAGAGCGTTTTATTTAACTATTGATAACTCTTTTATGCTGTAGGAGTTTCGTTGTGTATATTTGGAGGCTCCCATCAAAATAAAATTAGATTCCGACGATGACAGTGACGAAACAGATGCATAAAGTTAAAGCTCCAGTCAAAAACCAAATTCGTAGTGGAAGCAAATGTTTGATTCCATTTGCACTAACTAAGATTGACATATATATCCAACACCTATTTTATTGCATTTGTCATTGTTATATTATTTGTATTCCTTTGAAATAAATGAATTTCGTTTTATTTTGTGTTTGAAAATACATTTTTTTCGCATTGTGTATTTTAATCTGTTAAATTTGTTTATACTTATTTTTACTTGTCAAGCTTTGCTGGGTTTTAGGAGTTTTTTTTCAAAAATAATTACTTAATGAAGTGAACGAGTAATACGAGGTGAATTAAGAGTAAGGAATGGTGAAAATAAAAAATTATTAAGCATATTTATATAATTATAAATGAATAGATGATTTTCGGTTAACAGTTTTAGTGTTTGGTAAAATTAACAATGACATAACTCAACATGGTGTCAGGTGTAAGTCCGTGTATTCTTGTTTTATGTTCGTTGTTGAATTAACAACAGTGTTAATATGTGATTACCAAGGCAATTTATCACCTCTTTCTTAGAAAGGTAATTTTTTTATAAATAAGAAAAAATAAATACAAGAATTTGATATTTATCCTACTGCCAGTAAATATAACACAATGAGTGAATTTAGAAAAGCATCTATCGTCATTTGTTTTTTTGGTAAACTGTCTCATAAAAGGCGCAATTCATTGTAAAAGATATTGCTTGCATTAAATTTAAGCTGTAAATAATTGGACTAGTAAAAATGGGTTTGTATATTATTATTTAATTGTTTATTAAAAAATTATTATTATTAAAATTCATCGAAGTTGAAGTAAGTCATATTTACCCCTCGTCCCCCGGCAGATGGCAATGTCATTTTTTTTTACACACAGGACCTAACAAATACATAAACTCTTATACTAAACTGGGTAATTAAATATAAAAACTATTGACTTTCCGACATATTTTAATATTAGAATATTTAAACAATATTAAAGTGTTTTAAATGTTTAATATTAAAGTGGAACCGATTAGGGTTGATCTTCTCTTTATAATAATTTGCTGAAGTGTTTTCCCATTCATCATTAACTAGAACGTAAAACTGTTTTTCAGATACATGTTGATTTTATGAATACAGACCATTATAGGAATACACGAAGATCCATCTAATGACACTCAATTTCTCAAAAAATAATAATATTATCAAAATTCTGTTTTCCTTATATTTATACATATTTTACTATTTTTTCAATACGTTGAAAATGTTTACCTTCATCCCATACATAAAAACAGGTATAAATCTGTTTTTTTAAAACTATTTTGCGCTTCAAAAACAAATCTTTACTAAACTCAAACTCAAAATGGTGTATTAAATTTAAAAAGAACGCAAAGTTCAAATTCAAAGAATTCTAGACTTTTGCTATAGTTGGAAAAATTAGCGACTATTTAATTAGTAAGACTTGTAATTATTTATAGTATAAAATCATATTCAATTATGTTAAAAAAAAAAAACATGGACGAGATGTACAATGCTGACAAAATGTCTGCGACAAGCCTTTTGGGCTATTTCAAACAATATTCTATATACAACATAAAAATATTTATGTGCGTACACAAAAAACCGTACACAAATTGTATACACAGATTTTCGTTTATCAACGTTAGTCTGTATGTATGAAAACATATCGTACGCTACTATAATAAAGTTTTATATTTCAATTTGTTTTCAACATCTAAAGACAAAGTTTTTTTTAAAGTGTTTCAAAAAGTATACAACATTTGATATTATACTACACATAACTTAATACGACAATGATTTCTTTTTTAATATTTATTATTCTATTGTCAACTTCAGGTAAGTAATTTATTTAATTAATACATAAAAAAACTTTTTCTTTATAATTTGATCGCAGCAATCTCTAAGCGTTATTATTACTCAAGATGTATAATACCTTCATGATTACTAAAAATCTTTTAGACAACGCTGGTATCCCTACTAAATTAAAACTAGAACACAAAAAAAACCTTTAATATTCAATAATTACCCTAAATAAATAGTGGTTCACAGTTAATTTGTCATAATCTTAGTATAATTTTTGCGTTCAGCCAAAAGATATATGTATTTCAAGGTCTTAAATTGTTTTCTTGTATTTACGTAGGTAAGATGTTATTTATTTGAACAAAATAACACATGTTTTTTAGAGGTATTAGTTATTATACACTAAACTACATACTATACGTCCATTACACACTTAAAAAATATTACCCTTTTTAAATTATTTTATTCGAAAACTAAAGTAAATAATACGAACAATTTGTAAAATAGGATGGCTTGATGGCACCGTGAATCGTATCATAAATAAATAATTATTCATACTCACTTTACCGCAAATTCCGTTTATTTTATAACATTTTTAGCATTTTATTATCCTGTTGAATGTACATCATCATCATCGTCATCTTACCGGATAGAAGAGGATACCTCTTCTTCTACAGAAGAAGAGCGCCGTATAAAGCAAATTAATCACTCTCAATTCTTCATGAACAACATTAGTACTCTTTGCCTAAATGAAAAGTATGTAGATATAATTGTATTCACACCGATTAATAAGTTATTTTTATTAAGGGTTTAATTTTCGTGTATTATAAAGTATATATTAAATTGATTAAAAAAAAACAGTTAAAAAATTCCAACATCAATTAAAAGTTTTAAATGTTTTTCTCTAAATTTGGGAAATGTATGAGCTTGTGCCTTCCAACCACAGACATTATGTTATTGATAAGTGAATTATTTTTGATAAGTATTAATAATTAATAATAAAAATGCCTTACTAGTATAATATAATTACTAAGAAAAGTCGTAAGGCATTAGTTATAATTATAAGTAGATCTATATTTAAATACATAAAAAGTAAAATATAAAAATTACTATTTTTTGATTATTAGTCTATGTATAATAGTAAATTATGATGATTATTTTAGATTTTCTGATGTTGTCTTAGTTGTTGACAAAAAACGATTGCCCGCTCATCGTGTTGTCTTAGCCTCAAGCAGTGAATATTTTAGGTATTTAAGTTTTGTCATTAAGCATAGTAATTGAGCATTCATTGATAGTAGCTGGTTTTCATAGAGATGTTAGTAGTAATAACCGTGAGAATACTGCTTATACCGTGTATAATTTTCAGCAACTTATTGTATGGACCTTTTAATGAATCCGGTCAGTCTGATGTGAATATTAGTGGAATATCACTAACCACTTTTAAAATACTTTTGGAGTATATTTACTCTGGTCAGATGAATTTAAATGCTTGTGAGGTAAACTATAATCGATTTACATTATCGCTATTCCAACAATTTTACCAGAAACCGTGATGTTCTTTAAAATTTTAGCCTGAAGTTATTATGGAATTGTATAGAACCTCGGATTTCTTTCGTTTACCAGAATTACAATTTTCACTGGCCGAGTTTTTGCGGAGTAAGATTAGTACAGAGAATGTTTGTCCGTTGTTTGAAGTGGCACGACTTTATCAACACAAACAATTCGTAGAAGAATTACTGAACTTTATCGAAGACCGCCCTTCTTTTATATTGCTATATAATGATGAATATCTGTCTTTGTCGGCGGTAATGATTTTTTAAAATAAAAAAATAACATTGTTCTTGTTAGATGACAAGTTGAACGAAAAATTGTCTTCTTAGGGAGCTATCCAAGACATTCTCATTCGTGACTCGTTTTATATCAAAGAAATAAAAATATTCCGTGCGGTTTATCGCTGGATCCAAAAGAATAGAGTCGGCCTGGATTCTGATGCCATAGGGAAAGTTTTATCTGTTGTGAGATATGCCTTAATAAGTGATGAAGACCTTTTAGAGGTTGAGAATTCACAAGTGGTTAGTTCAGATACAATTTCGGCTGCAAAGCAATTAAGAAACACGGCTCCACCAAATAAGCTCCCTTTTCGAGGATATCAAAGTATGCCTATTATGCACATAATTTTGTATTTTACAAATTATTAATATTTTTTCATTTTTAAGAACCTTATATAATAAACGGCAATTTCATTTTCAAGCTAAAGCGCCCTCGAACCGTAAACTATATTGAAATTATGTTACCGGATGAAGGTGTACGGTATGTTTATATTTTATCAATGCTTACCACATAAATGGATATATTTCGTTAAAATGGTTTTTAAATAAAATATATTCCAAATATGAAAATAATTTGAGTTTTATCATTGTTATTTTATTGATTTATACTAACTGAAATGATTGTCGTTAATAAATAATTTATTTTTAATTATTACAATAATTTTTTTTTCATATTTTATTAGTAACATAAAAAAAATACACAACAGTTTGTTTGATTAATTCGACACTTTATGGATTACAGTTATTATATAGAAGTTTCAATGGGTGAGAACGATTGGGTGAAGGTTATAGATTATTCACATTATATTTGCCGTTCAATTCAACGTTTGTGGATTCTTCCAAGGTTGATGTTATATATTCGTATAGTATATGTTCACATAAAAAAAACTGTTAAAAAAACATGCAAATTTCTTAAAGTCTGTTACAACACAAACAAACGGCACTTGGTGGAAATCATAAATGGATTAGTTGGTAAGATTACAAAAAAAAACCAAGTTTTCTAAATAATATAAAACATATTAAATGTTTAATTGACTGCGTTTAACCAATTAGCACCAAAGTACAACGTCACTTCAAACACTAAGGGCACAAATGTAACCAAAGGTGAAAGTAATTGTTTTGATACTAATATACTATTGCACAGCTATAATCCCAGAAAAAGGCATAAATATTATACATGGCATAAGCTGGAATCGGGTTGTATTCGGATTCAACTTGCACAACCTTATATACTCAGTTCAATGAGGTAATGATTTAATGAGCTTGTCATTTTTGAATGGTTATGGCAATGGTTTACAAAAATAATTCCCCTTGTTTTATATCATAACAATTTTCCTCAAAACGTGTAGAGTAGACTCATTAGATTACCTGGGATACCATTTATACTTGGCAACTTTGTGACTCATTTGTTAT